GTTTTACCCGAGGGCATTGTGGTGTACGTATTTGCGGCATTACTGGGCAATACTAGGCAGATTTTTGGCATTAGGCCTTGCTGGGGCATTGTAAAGATAAAGTAATGCCCACTGGGCATTAGTGGGCATTGGTGTACAAGATTTTGGTCGGCGGTTTCCCCCCCTCGGGCATTATCCTCGCTGTAACTTGGTAATCCTTTTAATCGCAATTCCAATCGCATAATTCTAGTCAGACTCGCAACGTGCCTCGATAGGTGACATGTTGTTACACATGTATAAGAAAACGCAGCAGAATGGAAATTCCAGTGATAAGGAATTGATAGACATCAGTAGCGACGACGACGTATCTAAAGCCGATTCCAAGCTTGAGAAGGATGCAAAGACGCCCGAGCCTGGGCCCAAGGTGGCCCAAGACTCTTCGCATGCGTCTCCGATTACGACGGTTGCCCCATCGAAATCAGAAACGGCAATTGCCAAGCCAGAAACGCCTGTCACGAAGCACGAGCCACCCGTGACGTCGGTCAAGCCAGAAACGTCTGCTGCGAAACCGGAAACATCTGCGAAATCAAAACTGGTACGTATTTAGCAATGGCAATCCGATTGCGTCTGTATACAATCGCAATAATACTCGCGTCCTTTCAGCCTGCGAACGAAGCCGTGTCGAAACAGCTGCTAGTAGAATCTGTGAGGAAACGACAAAGGGACAAGGAAAGTGGCAATGGGCAGTTTTCCGTCACAAAGAAAGCGAGAACCATACCTACCACGGAATCGAATATTACATTCTCTGGCATAGGAGGTAGCGACAAAGTTTTGAAAACTGTCTGCAAATTACTAGCCCATATGAAACACCCTGAAATCTTCAAACGGCTCGGTATATCTCCACCGAGGGGATTTTTACTTCATGGACCGCCCGGCTGTGGAAAAACCTTACTGGCGCATGCAGTTGCGGGAGTAAGATATATAATTCTAAGAGTATAAATCTATTCACAGATTATTGTAACAAATTGAGCGGTAAATACGTTTTTCCTATATTCCGCAAGCAATTGTGAAATGTTTCACGCTTTGTGCGCGAGTTTGCTCGCTCGCTCTTTATCTCTTGCATTTGACGCAAGTGAGACGTAACGATGTTACGATTTAATTAACAACTGTATTGTTTATATTAGGAGTTGAATATGCCTCTACTGAAGGTGGCGGGACCCGAACTTGTGACTGGAGTATCTGGTGAAAGCGAGGCTCGTATCAGGGAGTTATTTGAGCAAGCTTTAGCTCTTTCACCGTGCGTTGTTTTCTTGGATGAGATCGATGCCATTACACCGAATCGAGCTACAGCTCAGAGAGAAATGGAAAGAAGAATCGTCGCACAACTGTTATCAAGTTTAGATGGTAAAATATTAATGATTCCATTATTATGTTTTACGCTATTGTCAAATTTATTACACATCTCCCCATTTCTTTTACTCATTAGATTTGAATCTCAATAAAAATGGAGACAGAGTACTAGTGATTGGTGCGACAAACCGACCCGATTCATTAGATCCTGCTTTGAGAAGAGCGGGACGTTTCGATCGTGAAGTGTGCCTTGGAATACCAGATAGAGAAGCAAGAGCCAGGATCTTGGCGGTGCATACTGAAAAAGTTGTATTGGCTCCTAATGTTAGTTTGTCGACAATAGCTTCCCTCACTCCAGGCTTTGTCGGTGCCGATTTAGTTGCCTTAATCAGGGAAGCTGCTATGGTTGCCGTAGATAGGTAAATCTCTTTTGCCCACTTTACACACATGCCCATACGTTTTTTTGTTTTATTTTTTTTCCTTGATATGTTCTTCTTGCTATACGTGACAACTTTGCAGAATATTTGAGGATCTAAATAGAGGATCAAAACAGGATGTCAAGTCACCGGAAGTGACGCAACAAGTGGAGAAGCAAGCGGACAAACAAGTTGAGAATGCCGAAAATTCGGAAAATTCAATCGATACTAATGTTGCGGCAGAAGCTTCCGATACGACTGGCAGCAATCTCACGTTTCCAACAGAATTACCCAAAGATCCAGCCCCGGGGGTTGCCGAAATGGACGTGACACAGGAACATTCGGCAGACCTGTCGACCTTAGTGACTTGGTTGCGTACCGAACCTCCACTCTCCCCGGAACGCCTGTCGACCTTGTGCATCGAGCACAGTGATTTCGAGGCTGCCCTCCGCATCGTACAACCTTCGGCGAAGCGAGAAGGATTCGCGACAGTTCCCGGTGTAACATGGGACGATGTCGGTTCACTGCGAAATATACGGCAAGAATTACAAATGGCAATTCTCGTGAGTATCAATATATTTTCATCTTTCGTGTATTGGTCGATCGATTTCGTGCGTGGTAAATTACTTCAATTGTTTGTCCATTTCCTTTATAGCCTTTTACGGCGCATTCATATAAATTGACTTATTTATTTCTGCAGGCTCCTGTCAAACACTCTGAGCACTTTAATGCGTTAGGTTTAACAGCTGCCAGCGGGGTATTGTTGTGCGGTCCACCTGGTTGCGGAAAAACATTACTGGCTAAAGCCGTCGCCAACGAAGCTGGAATTAATTTCATTTCCGTTAAAGGACCAGAGCTTTTAAATATGGCAAGATTCAACATAGTTTTAATATTACATTACAAGTCTTTATTCTTATTATATTTCCAAGATGTAAAAGCCCAATGTGTGATCTTCGTGACGCAACTTTTAGTATGTTGGCGAAAGCGAGAAGGCAGTCCGTCAATGTTTCTTACGGGCAAGGAATTCAATGCCGTGCGTCATATTTTTCGACGAGATAGACGCGTTGTGCCCCAAGAGAACGGAAGGCGATAATTCCGCGACGGCGCGCGTCGTTAATCAAATGCTCACGGAAATGGACGGTGTGGAGAGCCGGCAAGGGGTATTCCTTATGGCGGCCAGTAATCGACCCGATATAATAGATCCAGCTGTTTTGAGGCCAGGTAGATTGGATAAAATTTTATACGTTGGTCTCCCGGACGCTTCGGATAAAGTGGACATTTTGCGTGCGGTGACGAAGGTAATTACATACGTCACAGTCTACACAGAGGAGGGAGGGAGAAAGGGAATTGGTTTTTACCTTTTTCTTTAATTCGTCTTTTCTCCCGATAATTTAATGCGTATAATTATAGCAAGTGACGTAATTTGTAGAATGCAACGAGACCGAAACTTGCTTCAGACGTCGATTTGAATCAAGTGGCATACGACAGTAGATGCGAGGGTTACACCGGTGCCGATTTAGCAGCATTGATAAGAGAGGCCGGTATGGAGGCTCTGAAGGAAATAATAGCCGGTTATGGACAACCGGAAATTTCGATGAGACACATTTTCCAGGCGTTTGACAAGGTGCAACCGTCCGTTCGCGAGGAGGCGAGTATTGACTTATCTGTCTCAAATCTGCGTACCAGATGACACAAATGTAACGAAAGCAATATAAATTGTGCAGGATGTTAAACACTATGAAAAGTTTAGCAAGTTGTATTCGGCCAGGAAGAATTCTCAAGTTACGCCAATGGATACGCCACTAGACGCACCAATTGTCGACGTAGTCATGGCGTCGATGGAAACTTAAAGTACAACACATAAAAGCCTATAAAAATCATGAAAGAACTCTTTCGCAGCCAAGATACATGCAACTTTTACATGGAAAGACTAAGAGGCTCTTCGATAACGGTGCAGTTCAGTTTCAATTTCATACAACAATTATGTTAGATCTATTGTTTACTGTTTCAAAATAATTAGCAGGTTATAGTTGAGATATCTCGTTATCTTTTCCTATATAAATGACAAGTACGGACGACATACATAATTTTACAACGTTTAACGGTATTCAGCAATTAAATAATTGACTTTTTTTTTATGTGTAACTGTAGCTTTAATTATGTGTACAAATAAATGTCTTTTAAAATACAATCAATCTTATGTGGGGCCCTTTATTATACTCTATTTGAAAAATCTCGATAATAAGTCGATCGTGAAGATTTGTGGAAAAATAGCATATACATATGGAAATGGCACGAGTCGTGTAAATAAGTCGTCTCTCACTTAGACAAAGCGTATAAGCTAAAACTGTTCGTTATCCCAAAACCATTCTATCTATATTAATCTAAATAAAGGGATATTTTAAATAGATAATTATGATGACGTGTCGATATGAATTGCCCAATTTCTCGGCTGGATTTGCCAGGCGATGGTTGAAAATTAACTAGAGACGTTACGCCTTATCCTTTTTGCGATTTTTCACAATCCAAGGATGCTTAAGAACGCCGTCCATATTCAGTCTCTTTTCAGGATCAATAACTATCAACTGAAATACATGGTTGACGAGAAGAGTTAATCGACAAGAGTTTTATCGGCAAAACGGAGCTGCTGAAATTAGCTTACCTTTGAAATTAAATCTCTCGCGTCCTCGCTGACGAAACTCGGGAACGTGTATCGCAATCTTTTTATGTTTACGTAAGTCTCATCGTTACTTGCCGCATAAAATGGAGGTTTGCCAACCAAGCATTCGTAACACAGCACCCCGACGCTCCAGAAGTCGACCGTATGATTGTGCGTTTTCCCGGACACCATTTCGGGCGGCAAGTAATCCAAGGTGCCGCACAAGGTATCCCTTCGGGAGGAAGGGGCGTGCACCGACCATCCGAAGTCGGCGATCTTTAGTTCCCCATTCATTCCGAGGAGTAAATTCTCAGGCTTGATGTCACGATGGATAACGCTCTTGCTGTGACAGTACTTCAATGCGTCTGCTAATTGAGCTATGTAATTGGCTGTCCTACAGGTAGGGAGATTACAACACAGGTGACATAGCAATCCCAATGCAATTCCTCAAATTACACCTACCTTTCTTCGTCAAATCGTTTATCGGGCTGGGCACTCAATTCTTTGTAAAGCTCGCCTTTCGGCGCGTACTCTAGTATCAAATAAATTCGACTCTCGTCGTAGAAGTATCCGTACATCCTCAAAATATTTGGATGCCTGAAAGGATGAAGGAAGCTGTCAAGACGCCCCGCTGAAAATCTTACGTCGCACACCGGACGTTACATACTGCTCTTAGAACAGACTAAAGAGGGGCGATAGTGTACCTCAAGTGGGTCTGGATCTCGATTTCTCTCCGTACTTGATGCGAGATGTTTGCGTTCTCGATCTGCGACTTGTACAGCACCTTCATAGCTATTATAAACTTCGACCTTTTCTCCCTAGCCAAGTATACGTTACCAAATTTCCCTTTGCCCAACGGCCGGCCGATATCGAAGTCTGTCAACACCCATCTCTTCTTGCCCTGATTCTCCTTGTGCGCGTCTCCAGTCTTGCTGTCCTTCGCCCCTTCGCTGCCCTCGCTGTCGGGCTTCTGTTGAGGCTGGGTGGAATCTACCGACTTGGACGCTACTGGCACTCTAGGTGGTGGCATCAACTCGCTGGACTTCTTGGCACTATTGACGTCCTCATGTTGATTCTCGTTTCTGGTGTCTGTCGTGGAGCAAACGCCCGAGCTACCCTTCCCGTAGTCATTCGCACTTGCCACGTTCCTCGATGCTGCGACGTCCGTCAGCACTTTGTCGGAAATGTGCAAGCGGCTGAAGCTGACGACCGTTTTCGATGTGCGAGTGTCCGATTCACAAGTCTTGTCGTTTTCCTTATCCGTTTCGAGCATAGTTGACGCTTACACTCCGTGGCGGTCCGACAATAATCCTGACAATAGGCAATTTATGGAGTGAAATATAAATAAATCTCGTACACCGTAGCTTGACAACGTTACACGCGGGCGAGTCTCGTTGTTAGTTTTCGTTGCTAATGCAACGTATGCACTTGACGTGGCATCGGCGGCTCGGGAACCGGGATGTCCGGGATACGACCTTCTTTGAGAGCGCTTACCTCTCCGGCGAGACGAAGGTGCCGAAGGTGTCGGTGAGTATTGGAAACCACGGGAGCCTCGCGGTGTCTCTAAACGGTTATTCAAAATCTCGAATGCCCCTCGTTGATTGGTCGACACGAGGGAACGCGAGACCATACGCGAACATAGGTGGGGACTCTCGACCGGCGATGTCGGACTGGTCGCGGGTCTCGCGCATGCGCGACAGCGACCAGCGATGTATTGGCAATGCCGTACAATGGGCGCAGATATGAGACTCGAATTAATTTTATACATTGACTGTATACGGGACCGTATATATTAATTTACATGGTTATATTATATACAAAGCAAAAAGATGCGTGGCTGTCAAAAAGGTTTCTTGTCAACAATCTTTTTTTTAATTTTCTTTAGGAAAATTTCTTACGGGCGACCAGCGATACACCTATTTGTCCGTGGTAGGTACTTCAGCGAGCCTCAGATCGACGCGCATGCGCTAAAAGCGCGACCAATCTGCCATCACTCCGTGGACCTGCGCAGCGTCGATTCCGACGCGTTTGGGAACGCGGCGAACTCGCCGGAAAAAAAAAATTGTACTCCGTAAAAGCCCGGCCGATCGGGACGTGTCGGATACAACGTGCGACGTTCGATTTTAATAAAAAACAATGCAACATTTATTTAGCAAGGTACAGAGCCTGCCGCTCCGGTAACTGGAAACATTGCGTCATAACCTCAAATAAACCTATCCACGTAACATCAATGTACCCATGACTTCTCTCGGGACGTGCGTTCGCCGGTAGAGAGGACCGAGACGGGGTTTACTGCCACAATAAGCTGTAAAAAAGCAGCAGTGTTGAAAAAATATACATAAAACCTTTCCCCCCGCGATCCGCCTAGTCGGATTACGTTTTTGCGATTGCTTACTTCATGAGGGTTAGCTCGGGCATGCCTGGGTCTGCACCCTTCCTGAATCCTGAAATTGAAATATTTGCACCTTCAGCACTTTGCCGCGCGAGTAAAACGCGGTAGCAGAGACGGCGAATCGTAAATAAGGTCTAACCTAAAAAGATGATGGAAGGAATGAAGCCCCATTGGAACACGAATTTGCTCACGTTCAGGACGATGGCCACTCTCTGTTTCGCGGTCGGACTTAAAACCATTTTGATACGCGTGCTTCGCGCGAACGTCGTCAAGTTCCTTATAACGCTGACAGATCAGCCTGGAGTCCGGAGTTGCCTGGAGTCTGGAGCGGGCCGCCGGCGGAGCGAACAAAATCGACCTCTGGCGGCGAGTTGCCAACTACGCACGCTTTTGTTCGTCGTCACAACACGTGTATACCCATACAGCACCGAAGCTTCCAGAAACATTTCAGAAAATATTGTTGCAATATTGATTGATTTTAGCTTGTATCAACTAATATTCGCGATAGGTACTTATTTTTCTTTGCAATATCAGTTATCGAGTTAATTGTTGTGTAATAGGGAGGTTGAAAAGAGGTATGCAAGAATGAATGAGTTAAGAACATATTGTAAACAAAGTCCACTTCTTGGCTGCAAGCTGAAGTTAATAAAGTTACGAGTACAAGAGTATGTGTACCAAATATGCCCACAAACGGCTCTGCATGTGTAAAGAAACTCCAGAACAGAATTTAGAATAAGATTTTTCTACACACGCACATACAAACAATCATTTATTGTGAATACCGATAATAAATAAAATTATGAACAAAAGTACATATATATTTCTTTTAATTCTCAACATTGGCGATTAATGATCTATTATAATCAGCTCGTCGATGCCCCAATCCTCGTAGCTGTTGTCAGGCAGGTAGCGGCGTATAATTATAGGAATTTTCCGTTGCTTCAATTCCTTCATAGCAATTTGCAACGGGTCAGTCTCTCCCTCCAACTCTACCATCACTGGAGCACACATTGCTATCTGCAACGCTCTTGTGCCTAAAACTCTTGCCCTCTCGTATCTAGAAAGTGAAAGGTAAATTATACCGTTACTTGCAATAATATGTGCAAACAAATGATACATACTTGGTCATATATCTGGTCGTAATCCTTTTTGATCTTTGAACACCGCCGGCGGCCTCGTTGGCGTTCAGCAATTCAATGTTTTCACCGTCATCTTCCTGGGTCTCCAATTCAATGTTGTCCTCGTCTTCCACATCGTCGAAATCATCCACGACCCTACAAAACAATTGCGACGGCTGGGTCAACCACGGGCAAATCACAATATTCAATAGCATTCAATTTTTCCGTCCACTTTATTTATGTTTGCAAAAGAGAATAACGTTCTTTAATGGATTAGAGAAGAACTTGCATCCATACATTCAAATAAGACAAGTTTTATTATATATACTCACTCGTCTCCATCGAAATCTTCATCGGCCATTATTTACTTATTTAATTATCGTATGCAACTTCCAGCAACTTCTTCTAGTGTTACCGCGCACAGTTGTTACAAAGGTTAGGTTACAAGAACGTTCGACAACCATCGACACAACTGAAATGAGGGCTTGCTCTTGCTCTCCCATTGGGCTACGTTCAGAAACACCCGAGTATCCCAGCATATCATTCTATCCTTATTTCTCACCGTATGTTGAACAAGGATAGAACGATACGCTGGAGCACTCGGGTGGTGTTTCTGAACGCAGCCCGAGGTGAAGCAATCCGGTGGATGCGCAGCGTCAACCAATCAGAAGTGGCCCAACTTCAAACTGCAAATCATTGCGGTTGAATGCAGGCAGAAGCAATGAACAATTTGCCCCAAAAATTGGTTACATGCTAGACCATGCTAGACTACGGATTGAGATTGGGATTAGATTGAATTTTGACGAATCGCAGTAAAGTTCACTAATCTCAAGTTTAGTAACTTTTACCCTCATTGGCCAATTTTCAATCTAATCCCAATCCGTAGTCTGATACGGGCTTTACGTCTATACGTCCATCTAACCACGCCAGGTAACATATGGTCCGACGGTGAGTACGGGGGTGGGGGGAGGCCCGGCGACAGGAATGAGAAATTGTTGAAACTTTTAAACTGGTAGGCGCCTGGCGGTACTCGTTCTCCCTCGGTACGATCGATTTTTCCCCGTCTTTTACACTTGGAATTTCTGAAAGATATTGAATGAGACGTAGGGTGAAATGGCGACGGAGAAGGATTTAGTGAATGGTAAACGTTGATTGTGTGCTGTACAACATTTAAGACATAAAACAGGAATTGCAGAATTGTTTGACAAATAACCCACCATTTCTACATTTTATATCAAGCGGCAAGAAATACATACATTTCTCGCGCACGTGTAATCTTTTTTTTTTGTTTTCTTTTATTATCTCTGTGTCGAGTGAATTAAAAATCCCCTGAATAAAGTTTACACACTTCTTCGCATATATATATATAATGTACGATGCTGTTGCTTGCGTCAATGTGTTGAACGTTTGTAGCTGTACGAGAATCGCTAAAGGCTGATGGAAATCTCGATCGGATGAAAGCAGAAATGCGCACGGAAGTGATGAAACTGCTCGACTGTTCCGGCAAGGAGAGCAAATCGAGAACTGTTAAAGCTCCTCACGATATCGTTTTCGTCAATGAACTCGTCAGAGAATATCTCGATTGGATGGGTTATAAATATAGCTCTACCGTATTTATCGCAGGTACATTCTCTTGGTCGGATTACACATATGCGTCCAACTGTAATAAGCGCTAACGATAGATGTCGAATGCGACATCGATTATCAGCGGCGAGATATTAAACAAGATATATCTGTTATTCCAGAATGCGATCTCCCCAAGCATTGCTTGGATCGCAAGCTTCTTGCGCAGGGCTTGGGAGTAAAAGACAACGAAAAGAGCAGAGACCTACCGTTGTTGTGCGGCCTCGTGCAAACGTTCACTAGCTTGAAAAATGTCCAAGTGTAAAATCTACACGAGCGTGCGTCATTCAACATTCAGTTGAGATTTTTTAAATGCTATTTATTTATTTCCTATTCGTATGTTGCACACATACCAATTTCGCGCCTGGACGTCTTTGTGCATACAAGCTTGAAAACGCAGCGCAAACTTTGATTGCTATACTTGTTGCAATAAATGATGAAAAACGTAACAGTATTCTTACTTGTACGCGTCATAATGTGCGACTTGACACGACGAGCGCGAGGCTGACGCGTCTCAATCTTTGCGTTTGGCGAGACACAAGAATATGTTGAAAGAATTTTACCATTTTATTTCGTGACTTTTCTTACATATTGACATTAGATTACGAAAGTACAATATAATGGTGAAAGGAGGAGAGGGAGATATATATTTTGTGTGTATGTGTATCCCCTAAATAAAATTACTCGTTATACAATTATCAAGTTTTTCAAAGACTTATTATCGTTCTGATAAAATTGCCACAAAATTACATCAGCTACAATGTACATGGCTTATCGTAATAATAAACTTTTATATATATATATAGTACTTTAATATGTCAAGTCGGAACGTGATAATTATGCAAAGGCCATCAGGTTCTTCTTTTCGTCTCGCACTAGAATAGTGTATCTATCGTATGTATTCTCAACTTTTATTACTCCCCCCGAATCCGGTTAATTTGTTCCGCATGTCGAAAGTGTTTACTTATTTCCATGCCAATAAATCGCTCAATAAATATCCTACTACGCTAAATGACATCTGTTAAACGAAACGTCGCGCGCTCAACTGTAGCGAGTACGAAACAATTATTCTTATTATTTTCGTAATATTTGATAGGATTCTACGAAAAAAAGAAAAATAATAGGAGTTCTGGCCCTTTTTTCTGCTGAAAGGTATTTGTAAAGATTCTTTGATCGCGAGCATCAAAGATGTCTAGTGATGTCATTTGTGCTTGGATTTCTTCTTCTTCTTTGACTGCTTGCTTCTGCTTTTTGATTTTTTCGATTTCTTCTTATGCTTCTCCTCGTCGGTGCTGGTGTCGGACGAATCGGAGTAAGTGTCCGAGTCTGAACTGCTATCCTTCTTGGCAGATTTCTTTTTCTTATGCTTCTTATGCTTCTTCCTCTTTTTCTTGTGCGACTCGTCGCTGCTATCCGAGTCGGAGGTCGTTGTGTCAGAGCTACTGGACGTATCCTCGCTGCTGCTGGACTTTGATCGTTTCTTCAGGGACTTGATCTCCATCTCCTTGTCCAATTCCGTTTCGTCAAGTTTCAGCTTCTTCGTAGGTGACGATTTACCCTCCTCGCCATCCGACTCCGAGTCCGAGGCTGAATAATCGGGTTCGAAGTGGGCCTCGTCGAGCATACTGCGCTTGCGGTCGGACACCAGTCTCGGATTCTTCCTCTGTTTCTTCAACGATTCTGCCAGAGGCGGCTCAATGTTCTCGTAGCTGATCTTGGTCTCGTTGCCATCCGACTTGTCCTTTGAGATCGCAGCCGCCTCCTTGTGCTTTTGCTTCTTCTCTTGACTCTTGTCCTTATCCCTCTTGTGCTTCTTCTCCTTGCGCTTCTTGTGCTCCTTAGACTTACTCCTGCTGCGATGCTCCTTCTTTCTCTTCTTCTCATCCCGCGACTTTTTGTCGCGCTTCTTCTCTTCCTCGTCATCCTTGGACGACTTCAACAAGCTCATCTTTGACATTTCCGTTCTCTTAAATGCACCAGCCGAGGGAGGTGTCCTACCTCTGTGCTCGCGATCTCGCTCCTTGTCCACGCGTTCTCCTTTCCCGTCACTTCTACCACTGTTTGAGCGAAAGTCCGTTCTACAATCGATTCTACTCTCCCTCTCGGGCTTGAGCTCGCCGCTGTGCCTGTCGCCTCGGAAATCCGACCTATCCTTCGACCGATCACCTCTGTCCTTATTGTCCCTCTGTTTTCTCTCTTCCAAGAAGACTTTGCGTTCGCCGCTCGACCCTGCAGTTAAACCCAACGAAGAGGACTCGACGCGCCGAGTCTCCAACAGCGGAGAGGAGATTCTCTTTTCCCTCCTGGGCGATCGACTTCTCGATTGATTCTCGCTCTTGGCATCACGCCTCTCCATGAATCCCTTTGTAGGACTAATCTTCCTCTCTTTACCGTCCTCGATCTTCTCGCCGAGCCTCTCCTTCGCGGACAACCTGGTCGGCGAGTAAGCTGTCTCCGGCACGGGTTTAAACTTGGTACGATCGAGCTTGGCCTTCTTCGCCGGTTCGGTGATCTCGACGTTCCTCTCGTTTCTACCGACATTGATCGTCACGTTGACGCTCTTGCGCGGCTCTCGATTGGCGGCCGGCTCCACCGTCTCCAGCACCTTGGGCTCGGGATTCTGATACAGTATCTTTCTGCTCTCGCTAATCTTCTTGATCTCGATCGGCCGGATCGCGTTAATGGCCTTCTGGAATATGGCATTCTCCGCACGCTTCAGCACTTCCGACGTAACCATCTTGATCGACTTGGGCTCGTCCTCTCTCTGCACCTTCTCCGTCGGTGATCCGCTCGCTTCGTCGTCATCCTCGTCGTCCTCGGGCTTTTCGATCGTATCGTCTCTCTCCCACTTGGACAACTCGGGTATTGGCGCCAGAAACTCGTCCTTCTTTGGTCCACTGGGCGATTTCTCCGTCGCGAGCGCTGCGACGACAGCTTCCTTGCTCTCGGCTTGCGAGTGCTCCGAAAGTAGAGAATACTTTTCCGTGATCACAGTGTTGATCTCTGTGTCGTCTAGTCCTTCGTAAAGGCTATCGATCGGCTTCATCATGTCCGACTTGAGTTCCGGGATCGGTTTGAAGTTTGGATTCGGTGGATTTGTGCCAAATTCCGTACGATCCAGCCGACCACTGCCAGGACTGGCCTCGCCGAATTCCGGCGGTTCCGGATTCATCGCCAGAGACTTATCTTCGAATTCTTCTTTGATCGGCGCGATCGACACTTGGCTGGTGATACATTCGATCCTATTCTGCATGTTGTCCTCCTCGTCCTTGCACGCTGCCTTTATGGAGTCGGTCTTGTTGAGCGGCGAAGACAAAGTGTCGTTACTCGTCTTACTGTCAACCAGCAGCTCGTCCGTCTCCATCGTTTTGATCGTCTGATCGTCCTTCGCCACTTCTTTCTGATTGGATTTCTTGTCCTTTTTCTTCTTCTTCTTCTTCTCCTTCTCATCGCTATCCTTCTTCTTCTTCTTCTCCTTGATCTTCTTCTCTTTCTTCTTCTCTTCGACCTTTTCCTCGTGGTCCTTCTCTTTCTTCTTTACACTTCGTTCCGGTGACAAATCTTTAGGATCGCCCCTCGACTTTTGCGAGTATGGACTTGAGCTCTTCCTACTCTTCTTCCGCTCCACCGAACGTCTCTCGTATCGCTCGTGACGGTCTCTGTCCTTCTCGGTCTCATATTCGCGTTCGCGCCTCTCCTTCTCTCGCACCCGATTCTTGTCGTCCTGCCTATGGCGATCTCGATCATCTCTATAACTGTAAAACAATACGAACCATGACAATATAGCCGAGACAAGCTGAATAATGAATCGATTCGTCAATTTGACAATACGTATGTAGGACGTACCGATCTTTGTCATAATCTTTCTTCTCGACGTGCCTGTCATCATCTCGACGATCACGAATGTGTCTGTCGTCTCGCTCCTTGTCCTTTTCTCTCCTCTCGCGTTCGTCTTTCTCGCGTATCCTATCCTCGTGCTCTCTGGGCGGGACCGGCCTATCGCGATCCTCGCGGTCCCTGTTCACGATTCTGCGGTCTCTCTCGTCCCTCTCGCGTTCGCGCACACGATCTTCACGTTCGCGGCCCCTTTGAAACACGTGCAAGATGCATCACATGTAATATATTCTCCTAATCCTTGTACACTCCGTAATACGATTGCGTAAGACACTCTCGTTGATGAAACGCAAAGTGACAATAGTATTGTATGTTACCTGTCGTCTCTCAATCTGTCACGCTCATCGTTATCGCAATCCTTGGACGAGTGCTCCCGATCTTCCTGATCCCTCAGGGAGCGCTGCCTCTCGCGATCGTCCCTCGACGGTCTATCGGAATGTTCGACACCCGGTGGCGAGAGATCGTAGTAGCCCTCGGTACCAGGTGGTGCTACGTCGTCAAATCGCTTGTGTGACGAGGAATCCCTCAAAGGACTGCTAAAACGCTGCGGCGCCGGAGGTCCGGAATATCTGTTGACAGAAGGACAGTAAGCACTTGATATAGTCAGTCATCCTGCTGCATAAACTCTTAGATATGCTTATGCCTTTCATCTTTTTTCACTCTCTTCCTTAAACATATGCTGCGTCTTCATAGATGATACGATACAGCGCGCGAGAAACGCGTAGAATAGTTGTTAGTAACGAATTTATGTGATCCCAAAGTATATCGAGAAAATTAATCGTGTTAAGATATTCGTAGAAAGGAAAGAAAATAAGAGAATAAATTGTCCTTCAATTTTCTTCCATTCTTCCCAAGGTTTCAGTCAATCCCGAGGTCTATTTGCGCCACACCTCTGTGGTGTATGGACGATACCTATTTGAGAAAAATTTAAATAATCGAAATAGGGAATATGTCAACTTTTGTACAAGACTGTTGCACCTTTTTAATCTCCATACGAGCTGCAAGAATCAACAGGAATCAACGTAATCACAATCACCTATTGCCAAAGGACTTTGTTAAAATTATCAACTAAAATTATAAAATTATCAAGTACAGAAAGCAACATTTGTAACTTTCAACTGCTTTAAAATATAATTAAAAATATGCATTAACGTGAATATTCAAATAATTGCAGATGTAAAGATTAAAAATTTGCCAGGTTGTAACCTTTTTTTATATTAAATTTTACTTTAATTTGTTTATATTGTGACAGGATTAATTTTCGTGTCCCAAATTTCATGACAGAAAATAAACGGAAGCAAGCTTTTTTTTCATTACAAATGTTGATTTGGCCCTGAATTCACCTGATTCAGAAACCATGCAGACGTGTCGATCAGCTGGCTAGTTTCTCTCCGCGATGCTCCTCGGTACTCTTCCTTGCTTCTTTCTTCTTTTTGCACTTTTATGTTACATTTCACAATATGCATGTAATACACATACACTCATATATACATACATATATATAATACATATATATAATATATGTATATAAAACACTGTAAGTTACATATATATATGCATTTTACATAATTATATATTCAACAATATTGTAATAATATATCGTAGATAAATTAAATACGTTACTAGGGTATAATCCTTATATAATACACTGTGTTACATATAGCACATCAAAATTAAACTCGCATTAAGAGTTTCTCTTACAAAGGACTTAATTACGTAGTAAAGTTATCAAAATCAAAAATAGATCTTTCTAGTATAATTCAGCATCACATATAACTGTATATAATTAAATATATATGTAATCTAATAAATCGCAATTAATGAAATAACGTGATGTAGAAAGAAATTTGCAATAGTGACAATATTACAATTATACTTAAGTATATTCTAAACGTATAAAATATAACACGCACAAAAATATATACGTCCATACATACATACATACGTACATACATATAATTACATATATATGTATAACTTATTGAATACTACTACATAAATGTATTGTTAAACTTGTTATTTGCACGTTATTATACAATGTAACACCTAATGTACCTTAATATACCTAAATATAAATATTACGAGATTCCATATATATATACTTATATATATATCTGTATATACATATACATATATACAGATGTGCATAGATATCGATATATTATGTATATTTCGTGTATTTTGTGTGCGCGTGCGTGTGCGCGCGTGCTTTTGTTGTATACACACGTATAGTGCGTGTATATTTGAAAAAAATTGTGAATCTTAATATGGATGATTACTTGACGTGAAAAATCTTGGTTAAAAATAGACCTATAGCAAAGCATAAGTACATAAAAAAATACAAAAAATTTTATTTGGAGGAAAAATTTCGCCGTGCGCATAAATTACACTCTCATTAGCATACTTCATTATCTCTCATTACTGTCCTAAATATAATACTATCAATACTATCCTAAAAACAAATTCAAATAACAATTTACTTTTAAGATATGGAAGCATATCAAGTGGACGCATATTAAGTACGCGATGTTAAAAACGCAATCTTTTTTTAACTCAGTCTTTCTTTCAGTAGTCACGGGTAGCATACAAGTGTATAAAGAAAAATGTATCGATTTGTACAATTTTTTTTTGGATAATATATCACGAATTCATTGATCACAATAATCTCACAGCATACAATTTTCAACGTATCACTCTTGTGAAAATTAAAACTGTAGTAAAATGTATGAGCTGCATAAATTTGACATTACAGCAAAAACTCCACGTATCTGTACGTATTTAATGATTTGTTTTCCTTAAATTATTTTCTATATTTATGGACAATAAAATTTGTGTTTTTTTTTAAAGAAAAATGAACGATAATAATTTAAAAAATTATGTACAAAGGAAGAAAGGTGTAGAGAAATCACTTAATCTTTAAGAATTTGTCGCATTTTTAAACTGATATGCATTTGTATCTTCTTGATACAACACGTGTATATCAAGACTGTACGATAAACAGTATAATATGATACAATATTGCGTGCGTAGGAAACGGAATCTTAATTCGGCAACAATGCACTCTTCGTAATAAGACACTCTTTATCCAGTCAATGTGTCAAAATTGGATGCAACATAGAGATGCTCAGTATCAAATTTATGCAATGTAACTGCATGTTTAATTTATATATGTATAGACAGAAAGTCAAAATGACTCTCAGAGTCGTCTTTGTGGATCGATACTTCTCGCTGACAAGACAATTCAATCTGTATACCATATCGCTTTTGTATAATTCAACAGCCATAGTTTCAAAGTCTTTTTGCTTAAATAAACTAGTGGCATAGACATTTCGGTAGATCAACTGCATAGCGTAGTGTACATGAATGAAAATACTATTGAGGCGAAAATACCTGTTGTAGGAATCATAATAGTCTTTCCTGTCCGTAGCTGAAGGTCCCAATGACATAAGCGGTGGCGGTGGTGGTGGTGCGTGACCTCCAGTGACTAGATGCGGCATCAACGGCGGTATATTGTGTTGGGACGGTTGATTTCTTCCTATGGGATATCTCGGCAGCGGTCTCTCCCTAGGCGGTAAATCGCGCTCACGGTCACGGAATGGATAATCGTGAGCCGGCGAATCACCGTAATAAGTGTTGTATCCATCTCGTGGCTCGCGTGATCGCGGCCTGTCCCTCTCGCGATCTCTCTCCCTTTGAAATCTGAAAAAGAATCAAGTCGTTTCACAATCCGTACGTTAAAATACACTTGATATACTTTAGGTGTCTCTTGGCTGTATTTCTGTTGGCTCTGACATACCTCGGAGGTGACCGAACTGGCGATCGGTATCTGGGCAGTAACTCGCGGTCTCGATCCCGCTCACGGTCCCTCTCCCGGTCGCGGTCGCGGTCGCGTTCACGGTCACGGTCACGCTCGCGATCACGGTCGCGCTCGCGATCGCGATCACGGTCACGCTCGCGATCACGATCTCTCTCTCTCTCCCTTTCCCGATCTCGGTCTCTATCTCTATCTCTCGACGGAGACAGCCTAGGCGACTGACTGCGGGAATAGGATCTGGATCTGCAATCGGTCAGACGACACTTGAGAATCATAGCGAAATTACAAAGATTGCTTTCGTTAGAACTGCCCAAGTACCTGCTGATGGAGAAGCTGCCGCTTCTTGATCTACGCTTTGGGGTGCGGCTACGGGGTCGGAGCGGTAACGGCGATCTCGTTGACCTGCGCTTTGACGGTGGGCTACGAGAGCGACTGATGCGAGACGCGAATGGCGATCTACGGCCAAAGGAGCGCGATCTAGATCGACTCGATCGGTAACTACGCGATCGAGATCGCGTTCTACTTCTTCTTCTATGTTTCCCTAAACGTCGATCTCTCTCGTCCTTCTCTCTGAGCATTCGCTCGAACGCTTCCAATGGATCGTCGATGATTCTGCAGAACGGCGTGTATTAATAGGAACAATAAGTGCATCTTTCCAAGCTTTTTAACAAAGGGTGGTTTAAGGTTTCAACTAATTAATGAAAAGTCAACTTACCCAGGTGGATTCCCATTGTGTATATTTCTACCTAGCCCAGGTGGCGGCGGTTGTAAATTTCTATATCCCACTGAAACGAGACAGACAAGCCAGACGGTAAAACAACGGACAGAGATTTCTACGTCCCGCACAAATGTAAGTAGAACGTAATACGAATAAGATACGAAATGGAAGCCGAAGTGCGAATTTGCCCCTACGAGAGAGTAATTGCTTACTGTGATGCAATCCTCTCATTGGCCTCGGTGGCCCGCTGTAGTTGCGGGGTGGCTGAGACGGCCGGTATCCCTGCTGCTGATACGGCGGCCTGTCGTACCTCGGCGGTCCGTAATGCGAGCCCTGCTGATGCGGATATATCGGTATTCGGTGACTCATATACGGATCTGGCAGAAGGGGTGGATTGTGCGGAGGTACGTTTGGCGGTGGCTGGTTGTAATTCGGCGGCGGGATACGCTCTTCGCCCGGCGGAAAAGGCAGTAACGGTGGTTGATTGCCGGACGAAGGGACGTGCAGATGCGGCTCGTCGACCTGAAAGATTCGCAGCGTGCGGAATTAGGAGGAATGTCCCAGGGGTGCCCAAGTAGCCTCGGGACTCCGAAGGGACTGTTAAAGTGTGGCTCGCCGCTCACCGTTGGAGTGCCCGCGCGGTCTTCGTTAGACCTACGCATTCCGCTGTCATAATGCATAGCAGGCGGGTAGTGTCCATCGTCCGCTAAGTGAGCCTGATAGCCCTTGGAAGGGGGTGGGTTCATCAAGTGAGGTAACACCGCGCTCGACGACGGGTACTCGCCGTGCTGGGAGTGCCTGGGCGACAAGGACCGATTCCGATTGCGATTCAACGGCCGTAGATTCTCAATCCTGCGACCACGCTCGCCGCTTCTGCATTGTCGAAAGAGAAACGAAGATGTAAATAAACAGTCAATCGTCAATCGTTAACGGGCCGTTTTCAAGCGTCTCTACCTGTCGCGGTGTCCGTCCCTGCTGAAGCTGCGCCGGCGTTCTCTCGACTGACGGTCCCCCGAGTACTCATTGTCCCGTTCCTTCTTGTCGCGGCTCGAGGGATCGCTTCGCTCGCGCTCTCTCTCCGGCGAGCTGACGAGGGCGGGGATCGGGAGCAGAGGCTCTGTTCCTGGAGGAGGAGGCACCTCAGTTTCCTCGTCAGTTGTTAGTTTTGTTACCGAGTCACCTTGCAAGTGTGACTCTGAGGTCGATTCAGGCAGAGCTGTCAGAGGCACATGAGGTAGTGAGTAGGCGACGTAGGCGACTCGCAAACGGGCGATTACAGCGCGCTAAAGTGCGGATTAGCCTATCTCCATCCGCGATGGATCTATTTACGCCGCGCGAGACTCTCGCGCGTCCCGGTCCCTCTCATAGTGGCACGGTGCATTTTGAGGTTATGCGCTCGATATCGTCAGCTGGCCGGCATAAATTCGAATGTGTACCGTCAGCGACGCGATCGCGGCAATAACGGGCGCGCTACTTGGCGCGTTTCATCGCGGCGCGGCGATTCTCGCGAGTACTGCGCGCCGCGCGAGCCCCGAAGAGTCAAAACTGCATCGATCACACACACACTCGAATATAATGGCGCCCGCCTTCTGTTTACGTACGAGAGATGTATCACGTTTACAAGATGTGCGCCTATATATGTATAGGTGTATAAAAAAACCCAGGACTCGGTAAACACGCTATAGAAAAATATTTCACGCACGACGAAACGCGAGAGAGAGAGAATAGCCGAGAGAATTCACCCGCTGCTCTTTCGATTAAAGTGGAAGAGAGTTTTGCCAAACTTTTTATCTGACGTGGATCAAAGAGACGCCAATCAATACGCCGGCATCATTTGGTTAATTCGATATTAAGTGTTTAACTAATAGCGTTTTCGATTTTCTGACTCGGAGTCGGGTCGAGTCAGCAAATCGAAAACGCTATAAGTGTTTAACTAAAACTGATCAAGAGCGCGCGCGCGCATATTATTTTATTGCGCGCACGAGTAAAGCATCTATAAATAAATGAAACTCAATGAACGTGTCGTGTCCCGCGTTTATGTGGTGACAAATTGGTATTACACATAAAAATTGTCCAATTTAATGTCGGGTAAAAATTATCTTGTTAATATATTAACATAATAATTCCCTGTAACTTTAAACGGTACTATGCGCATATATATACTCGTTAGACACAATGCTGCACACGTACTTAAAAGTCATACGTATAATAATACATACAAATACACTTCTGCGGTACATGTGTAGAATTTGGAACACAAGGTAACTTAAGAATATTGCCGCGAGTAAGTAATGTCGCGACGGAAAGTCTCGGAGCTGCTTCTTATTCAGGCTCGTTAGGCCGAAGGGTAGGCAATTGGGTAAATCGCACAAGTAGACTTTTTAATCGGACATCTAGACTTTAACGTACCTAATAAAGTGTTCGTTATAAAAGTCTGTAACGCAATAAACTAAAGTAGCTCACACTCTTAGCAAGAAACTGCATGCTCACATCACGTCGCACAATTGATCTCGTATGTTGTAATTCTCACAACGCAAACGTGAAACAAGACATTTTCAATCTTCAATACATCGTTAAAAGCATGAGACGATAACGTCAGTTAACAAAAGACACTTACTGGTCGATGACTGCGAACTAGAGGTGTTGGTTGGGAAATGTTGCGAGGCAGATTCGATATTAGCGGACTGCAGCTCCGCAGGCTCTTGCGAAGTTGCTGGCGCGTCAGGAGCAACGGATTTAGCCTGAGGAGACGCGTGACTCGCGACTTGTTGCGCTTCAATCTTTGGCTGCTGATCGGTTGTTGGCACAGTAGTCTGGCCGGCATTTTGAACAGGAGGCCGATACGTTTGTCTCTTGGCGTAACCAGTCTCGTTCTTAAAATGCATCACCGCGTTACGTAGAAATCGATTTGGTATAAGGGTTTCCGGCGACACGTCCTTCTCGTTGCAATCCGGACATTCGTGTTCCTCGGATTCCAACAAAAACGTACGGATACCTGTCGCACAGAAGGAGAGCGTATTTAATGTACACACGAGAGACCGAAGATATTCAGAATTTATCATTGAAAATTGACTGGCGAAGGGAAATTTACACTCGTCACAAAAGGAATTGCCGCAGCATGGAATCATCACCGCATCCGTTAGAAGATCTTTGCAGATATTGCATAACAGATCCTCCGGTATCTCTGGCTTCTCCATCACGGGTTCCGGATCTTGCGAGAACGGTGGCCGTTCCTTTTTACCTTCCTTGTAAGCTTGACTAGAGGCGGCAAAGGACATACATGAAATTTCGTAATGCACACGTCACCACGTCGTGTTATATATATACGCTCGAGACTCACTGATCGATAGCAGGAACTGCGTAGTGTCCCGTAGGTGTCATCATAGCACCAGGCACCAAAGGCCCCTCGACCGGTACCATGAAACTTCTGGGAATGCCAGTGCTCTTCTTTATTTCGATCGGCTCTTGATTCGTGCCCAGCGGACAGTTTTTTATCCAATGTCCGGGCTGGTGGCATTTGTAACAGCGGTAATTTGCAGGTACATCACCGGTCTGATTGGCTCCACGAATTTTCATATAGCTAATAAAAAGTTAAACAACTGTGTCAATTTACTCTAGCAATTCATACAGACACGTTATGCAGTTTGACTCGCGTAAAGGCACTTTGTCCGGCGAAACAAATTGGAAAATGGCCTACTTTGACGGATCGTAGTCTTGGGTCGATTGCGTCATCATTGCGCGGATCTTATCCTCCTCCGAGCCGTCCAGTCTCGTGAGATCTACGGCCCTACCTAAATTCGTCTCATCCTTCGTGTTGCTGAACGAAGGGGCTTCATTTCGATCCCAAGAACGTTTCTGTTGCACCGTCAACGGGACTCTGGCGACAATAAGGCTGGTATTTTTGGCAATTAGCGCATTGTCGTCCGTGTAATCTGTACATAATGAGCGAGTTATTTATACAAAATGTATCGGTTATAATTAACGGCGTTCAGTATTGTAGCTTTATAGGACGGGAGAGAATCCCCCTAAACAAATTGTGATATTTGCCTTCCTTTGTCTGCGCATTTGTAATCTGCAGATCGAAATCTGTATTTTTGCCGATGCGCTTTTGATGAAATATCGCCTTTTTCAAGTCCGCCACTGAAATATGCAGTCCGTCAAACGACACAGTGTCGTAGTCCAAGGTAGATTTAAATTTGTAGTGTACCGACATCGTTGCGCTAGTTGAATAACCTAAAAATGCACAAGAGAAATTATCAGCGAGATAATAGCTTGGACGTCGTGGCAAAGGTGTTCTCTAGTCTCGCTAGCGGCACAGACGAAATCTAGATTATCTAATATGAACTGGCCGTTATCTCGTGAACGGAGAGCGAAAGGAAGACGCGGGTAACGAGCAAAATTGCGAGAGAGAGAGAGAAACGGATACACGAGCATCCTTGAGCTCCCCCAGCTTTACTCGAAATCCTTCCTGCGAGATACATGCGTAGAAGGACGTACCTCGTCGCGAGGACGACCGACGAGGAGCGCAGCTAGAGATCGTAGAAATCGCGTAGGGCGCCAAGGGTGGACCTCAAAAAGCCGCGAAAGGACAACAATAAACCTCGCCTCGCTCGCGGTGCGGTGGTAGGTTAAACGGAGCGACGTGCGTGGACCCACCGCAGGGCTGTCCGTATTTACGCGTTCGGTCGGTTACCGTGAATGAATGACGAAGGGTACGCGCGTGACGCGTCGAGCACAGAGTTTTGCGTTTAGCAACGCTGACAAATGAGAGATAAACGGCACTGTCGTGAGACCGCGTGCGCGCGCGCGCGCGCGACAATGTGCGACGATGTGCGACAACGTGCGACAGCAGAATTGTAGTACTACATACAGCGACGTGTTAAACATGTTAGACGACGAGCTCCGAGCCGCCGAGCTCCACCAGCAACCTGAACAACCGGGCCATGTCTTCCCCAGATCCAGATTACCGAGTCCGTCCGTAATCCGTGCCGCTTCACTTATCACAACGGCAATCTACGGCACCAGCAACGACGGCACTCGAATCGTGCTCCCGTCTAGAACGTCTGAATTAAATTAAAACGAAGCTACGAAGCAGTTACATACCAAGGCCCAAGCACCAAGCGCGACTCGCCCGAGTATTACAGTGAGTTTCGGAACGCAACAGAGCTACCTGATATTTTTGCCATAGGGAATTTCTTTTCCTAGTTGCTTTCACTCGCTTAAGTCCCAGTCTACAATAGATGATTTAAGCCCTAAGCTTTAGTCCCAGTCTACAATAGATGATTTAAGCCCTAAGCTTTAAGAAATTGGCCAATCACGGTCAAGTATGAGAAGAATGCGCGACTGTGATTAGTCAATTTCTTAAGGCTTAGGG